GATTGCTAATGACGCGATATCTTGCACTTCCCTCATTTTGAAAGGCCTGGGAGTTCGGATGCGTTATTAGTACGTATATTTTGCGTGAGAAATTCAGAGGTCCGATAACAAGCGATATGTGCGGTACAAGTGGGTGTGTTTATACGTCCCATATTCGCCTGATCTCAACATTCAAACTCTTGCATTTACCATATTTTTTTGCCTTTGTTACAATGCTCTAATCGCACGTCCACTTACCGATGTCTTTGATCATTTTGTATGATTAATACGTATTTCTTGATCAAGTACCAGTTTTGTTATTGTTTATTTTATATTATATTACATTATATTACACTACATTACATTATATTGTACTATATATTATTATATAGTATATTATTTAATGTATTATACTATCTAAGCTATTGTCAAACGTTGTTGCTATATATATATATATATATATATATATATTACCTAACATTGATCCTATACGGTCCAACGTCCGTGAAACTTGCATTTGTCACAACCCTAAACGGATCAACAGAGAAGAAACAAAAATTTCATATATTATATTAATATTATTATTATTTATTATTAATTATTATTATTATTATTATTATTATTATTATATTATTATTATTATTATTATTCATTACTATATTAACATCTTATTATTACTATTATTATTAATAATATTTTATTAAAAATACGAACAATTTTATATTTATAAATCATCGCCATTTTAACTGAAAAATAATGTCATCGACGGAAGCTCATCAGGTAATGAAATTCCCGCGGGGGCGTGGCAGGAAGCGGTCGTCTTTCACCGGGCGCGTCTACTCTCCGTGCCGCGGCACCGCGCATGCGTGATAGACCGTACGACGATAGCGCTATCAGCAGCCTCCCGCGGGCTTTTATTACAATACGCGGCCGCACGCGACACCAACACACACACACACCCACACACACATCCACGCATGCATGCACGCACGGGCACGCACGCGCCGCACGGCTTTATCTACGCATGGCTAATTCCACGCACGACGCACGTCCGTGCGCTCACGCGGGCGGAGGTCGCTGCTGACCGCACGAGTCCACGCGCACGCGGGTGTAGGGATGCAATGTCGATGTTTTCAAAATATCGATCATTTTGTAGCAACATCAATGTTTTCAACATCAATGTATTAACATCGAGTTCTTTTTCAATGTTTTGTTTTTGGATGAAAAATTCCATGAATACTGTACTGTAAAAGTTCAGTGTAAATACTGTAAAAGTGAAAATACGCAATAATAACTGATAGCAACACTGTTATTCATGTGTTAAACACCAAAGGAAGTCTTTATGCAATGCCTTCAACGACCAAACTCTCGCGCTCCAGATAACCTCCGTGCCCTTGCATTCTCTCTTTCTTTGTATTCGTTTTGCACATTGAGATATGGTCAGCAAAGACGCTATGCGCGTACGGTCGGCCCTTCTTCTCGTACCCTTAATTGATAAAGATTAACATTGTCATATTAAATTTTAATGCACTCGAATTTAATGTTAGAGGTTACTAACCCAGTCTAAAACATTGTTGTTGAATGACATCGATGGTTTTTAGTTGATGTATATTTAATATCAATGTTTTAATTTTGTTATCGATGTCATATCACTACACGGATGGAGTGATGCTCTCGATGCAGAGTCGATACATTGGAACCAGCTTAGGGGCCGTCCATAAATTATTTAAAAAAATTTGGAGAATTTTGAAAACTCCTTTCTCCACTTGAGCCTCCATCTAATAATTACGGAACGTTTGCGACAATCCCCGCCCATCAAAGATTCGATCAATATATCATTGATAAAAATATTTCCATTTATTGTAGCAATTTATATAATATAACTTCTTTAATTTATTATATTTTTAATTTAATTTATTAATATGTAATGTTTTAGTATGCGACTAAATAAAAGAAATCATTTCATCAAATGGTGAAAGATTAAAAACAATATCACCATTACATAACACTAAATGACCCCCCCCCCTACACCAACGTGACCCAGCGTAACGCTGCCTCAAATCCCCTCACCCTTTTCAGCGTTACGTAATATATGGAAGACCCCTTAGCCCGTCGCCCCCGGCGCGTGTTTTAACGTTAAAAAGTTTTATTTGTGCTTTGCAAGTTTATTCGAAACGAAAATAAATTTTAGATATTGCTCACTTGCTCAGCTCGACCATTTTTATTTTTGTACATTGAAGTTCACATTAAAAAGTGTCGGTTAAAATACTAGATTACGTACAAAACTTCTAGTTACGCACGCCATATAAAATACTGTTTTATTACAAAATTATGTTGAATGAAGTCAATCTGAAACGTCAAGTTGTAACAATCATAGAAACGCCAGAAAAAAAGAGTATACTGTCTCACAGCGCACTCGAAGGTGCACTGAAACGCTAATTATTATAGATAACCCCTATGCTATTATAGATTTATTCCAGAGTATCGTAGAGGGAACTGATTAACAATTGTGACAACGGATTCATCTTGCCGAAAAGAGACATTAATCACCACTTTGTATGCCGTAAGTCACCCAAAACGTGTTTTAGTTGCTTAAAATAAAAAGAAACACGTTTTAAAACAAATTTCTTAGAATTCTCAGGATGCATCTACAAAATGTATCAGTTCTCTGTCAGGAGATCACGGCGTTTCGAATGCGACCTCATTTATCTCGATGGTCGGAGGTGGTCGGACCGACACGTGTGGGACTGTCGGACGACGGACGAACGGACGGCCGGACAGACGGACGGACGGCCGGACAGACGGACGAGCGGACGGACGGACGAGCGGACGGACGGACGAGCGGACGGACGGACGAGCGGACGGACGAGTGGACGGACGAGCGGACGGGGGTTACTTGAATACTACATAAGGTAAGAATGACCTCCAATGCGCATCCAGGATATTTCTCGGCGGAGGGGGAGGGCTACAAGTACAGGCGTCAAGATGATTTTATCTTATCTCATAGACAAATTCTCATTTATGCTGAAAATTAAAAATATCTTTAGTTGTTAACTTGCTAATTTATATATCGTAAACAATTGATATATGTCTTTCATTAGCATAGAAAATTAGTAAAAAAACACACCTTTCAACAAGTAACACTGCTTGGGGAGGGGGAGGGGGAGGGGGAAGCAGCCCCATGAGCTCCTACCCCACACTCGTTAGGCCACTGCTGATAATGAAAGGAATAATAAACTTAGCCAAATAATCTAACCAAACTGCGGTAGAGGCATTCCACACATATAGTTGACTTTTTTTTTGCACAAATGTCGTTTGAATATAATTAATTTGCCAGGTGACGTATCCGACCTCTGGATTTGAAAATCTTTCACTGAATTTTCATGGAAAAATATTTTAGGTGAATTTGAATTGGAGGATTTTAGTGTAATTTGTTTCCTACCACTTGTAAAATGCAACAATGTATTTCAACTAGAAAATGATGAGTCTTAGCTAACATTGCATGGAAAGTAGTTCGAGCATGTTTCACGACAGCTAGTACACGACCTGGCAGTAGAAACATTATATCATCTTATTTCCTCATAAGTCCTCCTTCCCCTTTAAAATACAAGTATCTCCGCATTGTAACACGCATAACAGATACACGTGGAGGTCATTGTTCAGAATACAAATCAGCAATTTTACGAACTTGTCGTTATACTTTTGAAAAACTTGCTAAACATAAATTGTTTCGAATCTCTTCATCGCAACTGCTATAATTTTACAAATACGTTAGATTTATTTTAATCAAAAGAAACCGTATTGTGACCTTCAGTCGTTGACGTCTGGTGTGCATATAGTGCGATGTTGTGTGTTATGTTAATTACTATTATATTTTTTATTAATATTTATATTATTAAATAGATATTTGTAGTATATTTTGTAAACCATTGCTTGATGAATCGCACTTAATCTAGTTAAATGTATCATGGTTGATTAGTAATTAGCTATTAATAATGATTGCTTGTAATTGTTCAATTTACTGTACTTCACATTCCGATTTATAATTTTAAGCCCTGGTTTGTAAAAATATCACTAAGTTTTACTGAAATATCCCGTCATGGAATACACACTATGGTGTCAAACATCATTGCAAACCTAGGACGCATCGTAGATATTTTGTATCCAAATGTCAAATAGCGTGCTTATTATCATTAATTCTATATTCTAGATTTTAGACCTATTACGTCTAAGAAACGATACGTCCTGCTCTTCGTCACTTGAAATTTCGGGTTTTATCTTTTCCAGCCGTTCCTCCTGTTCGTTCCCATAATTTCATATTCACCCCTTCTCCCAGAGCTGAGATAACGTCTTGCTTTAGCGTGGGCCAGGAAGCTTTTAGTTCAAATATCGAAAAATGACAGCAATGTTTTCGTTTATCATTTGAAGAGAACATGTGAGGCTTGTGTGTTCACGTCCATGCATGTTTAGTGAGCAGAGGCCCGCTATTTGAGTTTAGAAAGATATTATATTTTTCCGGGAACGTTACAAATGTGTTGATCGAAAAAGTTCTATGGTTTCCATGATGTTTTGTTGACGTCGTGTTAAAATGAAATTCCTTTTCCCCTTGTTCTACTTTCAGAATTAGATAAGCACACAAGGCGATGTACACATTTTGTTAAAGCAATGGTTTTCGAATATTTTTATTAGTTCCTTTCGACACAGCAACCAACTGTTTGACCAATATTTCATTAATAATTTTAAAACAGCAGAAAGAAACTTTTCTTCTTTTATTTGACATTTATATGTTAAATGAATATCACTTTCTTCATAACAGTTGTTCAGAAAAGTGTTTCGATTTTTAAAAGTAAAGTTCACTACCTATGCGGTTATATTATTGATATTACGGATTCAAAAGAATGTTAAATAAATGTTAAAAATCATTGTTTCTTTGCAGTGTTAAAGTAATTCAATAACTGACTATTCAATGTTTGTTGTTCGAAGTTCAAAGGGAAAGGAACCAGTGATATAAAAAAGACACATTTAATTTGAAATAATGTTTTAATTGCCTTTAAAAATACATCTTCATATAGAAAACTCCTACAGAAAAGGATTCAGGATGACTTTGTTAAAATCTCTCATTCTTAGCCACGGGTCAAGTACAGTGTAAACAGCGTCTGCCTTCTTCACTTTACAAACATCCATAGAGTTTAAAGCGTTATTTTTCACATTTGAAACATGCGCTTGGAAAAACTCTCTAGCAGCATATACAAATAACATGTGTTATACCATAATGACTAATACAGTAAATTGTTAGGCCCCCGCCAGAAACAACATAGTACAGGAAATACAAACATGACTACCTATTCATCTGGTCCTTCGTATGAATGCTAGGAATTCAGTAACAAGGTGACAGCTGTCACAGTTAAACGAGGGTCGATGACTAACTAAGGTCTCCGATTGTATAACAAATTACAGAAAAATGAAAGTGTTCTGGAAAGACAATACAACTGGGCCATTATACTTCCCTGTCCAGACCATTTCCCCAACAATTTCTCTCGTCACTGTAAACGTTTTTCTGAAAGATAAGAGATATACGAATTTCCATATTTTTTTAATTATACGACTACAACTGATAGAACTTAATTGGTCTCTTGGTAGAACTTAATTTCCCACGCCCACAATGAAAATTATGGAAGTTATTTTTCTCAATTGCTAGGTTTGTATTTCTACGAGTTACATCGGAAACATTTTAATTTTCCAATTTTTTTATCAAACTGATGGTTTATTTCACTTGCGGTAATTTTTCAAGCATTGTTATATTTTTAAATACTTTTTATTTCACAGTATTTAACCATATTTTCCATCATTAGAAACGAAATGTTTATTGAAATATTAATAGCAAAAGGAAAACGTTTTAAACCTCAAAGAGGTGAGGATCCAAAACACACATCTTGTTTTATTTCATATGATAAAGTACAGTTTTATATACTACAATGAAAACACAATAATGTAAATGTAATTATACACAAACGGTTTGCTATATAATTGGAGACGTTAGTTTTGTTTAAACCTCGTATATCGTCAAGTAATGTTTTATCAGTGATTGCACAAAAAACATGTGACCCCTGGGAAACAAGCACATACAGAGAGAATTTTAGCAACCACATACTTCTGCGAAACTACAGAGAAGGAGTGAAAGCGGAAACACATTGTTCAAGTCTCTCACAGAGTTTGTGTTTTATCACTTTACAGTTTATCAGTTCACAGTCTCTCGAAATTGTCTTCGAAGTGGAGAGAAGTTGTAGACAGATGTGTGATGAAACTTTTTGTATCGTTATCGAAATTACAGTGAAATATCGTAGAGGCCTTTTATTATCGTTAAATTCATCATGAACAAATTCTTTAACTTTTAGACAATAACAATGAAATATAGGTCTCTTAAACCTACACCCAAAAAACATAGAAAAGCATGTATTAACAAATACTTAGTTTGATTTATCATGCTCCTTCCTATGCGAACGCCTTTGGAAATGAATATTGACATTTGTGTGTGAAATTATATCAACATTTTCTACATATTCCATTCGTTTATTTATAGTTTGGTTTATATTTCCCAGCATTCTTAAAATAAAAGCTATTCGACTTTTTTCAAAATTTTATTTTTATTTGAAACGTTTATAATAGATTACCCTGTTAATTATTCTGTATCATAATATATTTTGTACAATAATTAATAAACAAATTTATACACAAACATGACGAAGTAATATATATGTATATATAAGTTTATCACCATTTACCTCTTTGACGTTTTCGAAGGACATGAATGTCGCCGACTGAGAATCGCTTTTGCGAACAGCCTCCGCCAGAAGAGAACGTTGCACGTTCGAGACATTCTGTCACTGGGAGGTGATCATGTCGTCGCGGGGCAGCCCTGCAATCGACATCGTTGTCGGCGACTTCATGGGAACGTCAGCGGTATTTGATGGCAGCCGTGCGTTTTGACGACCTGTTGACAAAATACTTTGTCGTTATTAATGTTCACGAAAAAAATCAATAGACAGAAGAGAACAAGATCATTTTCTTAAATTTGGCATTTTTTATGAAATTATCTATCAGCGTTTAGATGAAAGAACTTTAATATTATTGACTAACTTGGATAGTCTTGAGTCCTCTATGAGTAAACACGTCTTAATTAAAAAATCGCCTTTACAAAAAATAACCAAAACAATCAGAGAAATACTACATGCTTATACAAATAATGATACTATTATAGTACACATCTGACATATTGCTTGCCACTGAAAAAAAAGTGATGCTTCAGTATTTTCCTTAAACAGACAGGAAAAAAGGACAAAATAACAAAAAAATTGCGAACAACATTCAAGCGACTTTAGATAGACACTAGATTATAAATAATGTGTGGGTGTGGGGGGCTATCGTGTTTGTATGCGAGTCTTGTTCCTGTGTGTGTAAGTCGTGTTCGTAACATTGCTCATCAGAGCACTCGCCCAAATTCTCATCCGAGTAGTCGCCCTTCAGAGGGCTCATGAGAGTCAAAATGGTCGTCAGGGAACTTATTCATGTGCTTGTCAGTGTTTGTCTCAGTTTTGCTCGTCAGAGCGCTAATCCCAGTGCTCTTTCGAATGCTCGGTTGAGTGCTCTTCAGAGTTGAACGAGTGCGCTTTAGAAGGCTTATGAGAGTCAGAATGCTCAGAGAGTTTATTCATGTGCTTGTCAGTGTTTGTCACATCGCTTATCAGAGTAGTCGTCGCGAGTGCTATTCCGGATGCTTGGTTAAGTGTTCGTCAGGGTTTTCATCAGACATCATCGAGTATTCAAATCAATGTGTAAATAAAAAAACATAATTATTGTAGCCGTACGTTCATTCCGAACTTTGTCAATGGTTGTTTGAAAAGTGAAAATAGCTTCATACAGGACCCTAACTTCGTACGTCTCATGACTGAAATATATTGGCACTGCTGATAGGATCGTCATGACGACCATATTGTAAAGTCAGTTTAACTTAACATTAATTCGCATTTTCGCACACATTCGCATTCATTTTGTTCGCTTTTGTATACAACGTAGTGTGGGTACCCGAGAAAGCAAATCCCCTAGGGGTAGTGAACGTATATTCGAAAGGGCCTTGTTTTGTAGACATATCTCAAGCACCTCTTGCTCCTCGTCTGTTTTCCTGCATATTCTCCCACGTATTCCCCGAACGTTTTCGGCGTGTTTAGCTGCGTGTTCCCAACAAGTTCTCACTTGTTTACCCGCACGATCCCTGCTACGTCCTTACATGTATCAGCATGTTTCCCACAGGATTCCCTACATAGTTCCCCATATCTTAATCTAGTGAATCCCCACATGTACCTCGGTACAGTTCCCGCAAAAACCACAAACGTTGGAAGCGTAGGCAACCGCGGACCGAGTCAATATATATTGGCTGTCCGGGAGACGCCGCATTCTACGTGCAGATACCAACGTCATGCGGTATCCTTCCTCATGGCGAAATGCATTTGGCGAAATGTGGAAGCGGCGTCTCCCTGGCAGTCAAGAGCATATCACAAATGTTTCTCGTAGTGTAACACCAAAACGTACACCACATGTTGCGCTGCATATTCTCTCGTATGCTCCCGCATTGACCTGTTTCCCATGTTCTCATACGTGTTCACTGCAAATTTTGGCAATTTGTAATAATCAAAAAGCAAATTCAGAAATTTAATTTAAGTGGTCTGATAATTCAAAATAACGTCATGAGCTTGCGTCGGCAGATATTACGTTCATTGACTTCCAAGGCGGATGGTATGGGAAGTTGCGAATAGCTAGAGTATTCCTCCCCCGGAAGAGAGGAAACTCCAAAAATGTAATAAATTGGACCCTAAATATTTTTGCGGAAAATTTCCATCTCCCAAATGCATCGTTAATCATCGTTTAATAGTGAAAGTAACTTCAAACTCGAAACCAATTTCCACTGTTTCTGGCAACCTGAGTTAAGGGGCGAAGAAACACTCCAAAAAGCGTAATAGAACGGACAAAAATATCATTGTGTAGATTACAGTATAAAACACGTAATTTCTGTCCGAAACTGGAAACCTTCATTCTAAGACCCAAGGATGCTTTGTTTCCGACTCGTGCACTTCGTATTGCAATGCTGTGTGTGTTGCGGGTTGCATGTGAGCCAAATTTTCTCAAATAATCTGCGAACATCTGTGATTTTCATCTTAAATCGCTTCTATGCGAAATCGCAGGATTCTTAAAAATGTCAAAATCCGTCATCTCGGCGTAAAGTATTGTATATCAAGTGTATATAATAAGTATAATTTTCAAGTGAATAAACACTTATAATAATGGTTACAAACAAGCTTAATCAGCGTAAGACTATTTTTAAGAATAAGGATTTATGATACTAGAACGTAGTTTTTTAAGAATGGTATGCACTTTTAAATTAACAAAAATTACATAACGTATATTACTCACGTATGAGATTTATGGCCTCAAGAATTCGTTTCCTCAATTAGTGCTTAAAAATAATTACTGCTAAGCTTCTCATTACTAATTTCCTTTAAGTGCATTTCTCATTAGTCCGAAACATCATCTAGACAGACACTGCTCTAACATAAAAAGGAAATGTGTTCTTTGTGCCAGCATTCTAACACATCGACATATTAAAAACAAACGCCGCCTCCCTCCTCCCGCTTCACTTCTCACACGCAGCATTTCACACGTCTTGCAACAACACAAGCGCCCTCCAATTCTTTTCTTCCTTTTTTCCCATTTCGCCCAGTCGAAAGGGAGGCCCGGAAAGAATTACCTGGATCCCGCATCCGGAGTTCAATGAGGACTCGGGGAGTGGGACGCGCCCCGAATCAAAGGCCCGGGTCCCATGGAATCCCCCTCCCCCCCGCTCCCTGCGTCTATACCGGCGCGCGGCGTCGTGTGCAAGAGGGCACTTGGTTCGCACAAAGCAGCGTTAATCGCCTCATCCCTATGTCACTGCTTCAGCCCCGTGCCGTCCGCCGCGTCGCGCCGCGCTGCGCTCGCTCGCGCATTCGAACTCTCCGCCTGCCCCTCACTCCCCGGCCCACGTTCCGCGCTTTTTCGTTCTTACGCTCTCCGGGGAGCACAGTGCGCGTTGGGGTTCCCTCTGGGGGCGGCGGTTGGAACTGCTCCTGGGACCGCAACGCCACGCAGTCCTCAAAGGATTTTCGGTTTGGTTTGCTGGCGGAAAAACAGAACACTTATGCGTAATTCTTTATGGAACACTGCTCGAGGGGAATTGAAATAAAATCTGAAACGCGGGGGAAAATAAATCCTTCGAGGCCATGCATCGAGTATTTCAGTTATTTCAAATGTTTGGTTTCCGTGTGGTAGCGTAGGAACTGTTCTCGTTCAAGTTTTAATCAGTAACAATGATTGAAACAATGCGAAAGCTATTAATGTACATTGATTGTTATTTGTGAACGCTGTTAAATCACAATTACACAGAAGTTTCTGTGTAGGGAGATCAAAACAACCAACTCTCATGCATAAAACGTACTATTTATAAAAAGCTCGTACTTACGCAGAACAGTACTTAAACCACTTAACCATATTACTAAAATGATTGTGTGATTGTTTTTATTTAGCCCATTACATCCAATTAAGAGCAAAGGCTTTCTGATACAGGGAAAAGAATAATCATTTCCTGCTAAGGAATTCTTGTTTTTAGGTTGTGCCTTTCGGATTTAGCATTTTCTACATGGTTCAGTTTTGAGCTAATTGAAGCCATGTGCTACCAGCAGTCCTTTTTATTTCCTCTGACCACCCTGTCCTGGCTCTTCCTCTTTTCCTCAAACCCCTCTTTTTCTCAAATTGTCGACACCATACTGTTGTTTCATATGACCATTTGTCATTGTCATAAGTCAGACCCAACGCCATACAACGAGTAGAAAACTCTTCAGCTACACGATTAGAACGGTGACTGGAATCGAGAGTAATCGTTGAGGAGATTTGCAGAGCGAATCAGTTGGATATTGAAGCTCATGCAGAAAGCACCACCATTAGAACAACAATTTTAGCGAAATTATTCCAAATAATTACTTCAAACCACTGGTGAATAGATCAAATAGCAACAAGAGTGATATCTTATTTTGCGAGTAGGGATAGTTACGACACAAGGCCGATAGGCCGCGGCATATCGTACTCGCATAGACCGAGGACTATCCCTACTTACATAATAAAAACATTTTTACCGTATGTGGCATACACTATTTTTTATACACCCTTACTGACTAATTTTATTTTAATTCAAGTATGTAAATTACATAACTTAAATTAAATTTAAATGTATGTAAATTA